CAAGGCCTTGAGATCCATTGATGAAGTAGTGCACACTAGAAGCTGTGCTACATTGGTGTGTGGCCACAGCTGTTTCCCTCAGATTAATCCTTGTACAGTACATGTCAAAACTCATACAGTACTGCACAACAAATAAAAAGTAAAAGTAGATATAAATATTGTATTAACATGTCCTTTCCAGTCCTCACTGAAAATATTCTTGCATGAAATCCTCATGGCATCTTTATGCAGCAGAATACCTATTAGCCAACATTAAGTCTCAAATTTAATCCTGTTAACATTATTTCCTTCATTTAATTATGGTAACAACAGCCTGTATACTGTAGATACCCTTGAAAAATGCCCATTCGTTGTTGTTGTTTTTTTTCAGATTTGACATTTTCTGTTGTGTGTTAGAAATGATATGTTAGACAATGGTTAGAGCTAACAAATGTTGAGAAATGTAGAAAAGACTGAAATGTAGAAAAGATGAAACAGCAGTTCTTTGCATCATAAAACTGTTTTCACTAAGAAACCCAGATGCCAAATGACAGAATGGCAAGACATTAAACCCTTAGTCCATTATGGCTAGATTTGATTACCCTGTGGTCTGCTTAGGTTAGCTTGAGCCATTAGCTATCTCTGAGAGTGTTTGTTTTACTTTGGACACAAGCTCATCTGAATGCAGTCCATCAGCACAGGGAGAAATAGAACAGGTGACTGGAGGTAAAAGAACTGAAGTTATCCTGGGTCAGAGTGGGGCTGCATTTGGGCATCCGGTTTAAGAAAGACTGAAATCTCCAAACCGATGTGTAAAGGGATGAGTTTTGAATGTGAAGAGACATTAATGTTGTGGTATTGTATCTAACAGGAGATGGAAAATGTGGAGCAGAAATTTAAAGAGCTTCAGAAAAAAGTGGATGGTATGAACGGAGGAAGTGGAGCCATTGATGATATTGACAAGAAACTGAAAGATATCAAGAAAGATGCTGAGGACCTCCTCAATAAAGCCAACAATGGCATGACCGCACTAGATGGTATGTGGACATAATTTTCCATTTTTAAGAGGGTCAGGTTTTCAAAAATTCAAACTATTGCAGAGAGATGTACAGTAAATACCCAGTTTAAAGAAGTGTCTACACCTTATGGTCATGAGACAGCACATAAAGAAGAATTGTGTAGTCTCTTTTACTGAGGCCAGTCGTTGTTCTGTTTGATGTTTCTTTCTGTCTCTTCAGGTTTTTCATTCAAGCAGATAATATCTAGGGAAAGTGACAGACGTGTATTAAAAGCTTCAGTTGCCTCTGATGCTTCAGTTTTATTTTGCTGCAGAACACAGAAAAAC